ACAGGTGTGGTGGGGACAGGTGTGGTGGGGACAGGTGTGGTGGGGACCGATGTGAGGCAGCCTCACCCCTGCTCCCCCTAGGGGACGGCACTGTCCTAGAACCACTCCCTTCAGCCCCAGGGCTGTGGGCCACGGAGCCCCCAAGTGCAGAATTGGGGTGATCCTCCAAGGCCAGCAGGTACTTCCAAAGTCGGCTCCCCTCCCCAGCCGTCCCTGGCCACAGCTGCTCAGGGCCCTACTGGGGGTGACTCATCAGAGGCCAGGTGGGCCGGTGGAGGGTGTCACAGCCAGGATGGGGTCAGGCCCTAACGGAGGGACAGGTGTGATGCCCAGGGGCTAGGACGTGGTGGGAAGGCTTGGCCCTGCCTGGCGTAGTGTGCAGAGCCCATGCCCCCACCTGTGTGCACACGGGGTCTACACATGCATGTGAGCCACCAGGCCAGGCTGGGCTGCAGGGCCAGGAGATGGCCAGTGTTGGAGGGAAGGTGAAACTGTGACCACCTCAGGTCACCTCAGATGGTGGGTCCCCAGGCACTCAGCAGGTGCCCCAGACAGAGGGTCCCCAGGCACCCTGCAGGTGCCCCTACCATATCCTGCAGCTGGCAGCTGAGGGTCTCAGGCCGAGGACAGGGCAGCGAAGGGCCCACCCAAACCTAGGCCTGCACACTCGTCACACCACTGGTCTGGATGCAGTGGCCCCTGCGGCCAGGCTGGGGCAAAGAGGCCGCCTTCCAAAGGGCTGGTCTGCACTTGCAGAGCCCTGGGCACTGTGTCCACTACAGAGTCCTCCCTCCTGTCCTCCCCCAAAGCAGCAGGAGGCTGAGGGACAGGGCTGGGAGCCAGAGCCAGGACCAAAGCCCAGCTCAGCCTGAGCAGCACAGGCACTCCCAGAGGGTCGAGGATCCCAGGCCAGGGTGCTGTCAGCTGAAGGTGGGGTGGGGTCCATGCTCACTGGCTGAGCCAAGGAAGGCCTCAGCAGGGTGAGCACCGCCAGCCCTCGCAGGCAGGCCTTGGGGTCGTGCTGCCAGGGAGTGGGGCAGGGGCCTCCACGAGGCCACAGGAAACAGGCCTGCAAGGCCCCTGACCACAGACGTCCCGCAGCGTGGCGATGGCCCCACTCCCCCCAGGCCACCCGGTGGCTCAGAAGTGCAGAATCCATGGGCCTTTTCCATGAAGGTCTTTATGGGTTTGGAAATTTAAACACCGCAGAGCCTGAGTTGAATTGGAAAGCAAAAGTCTCTAAGCTTGTACATCTTAAAGGAAAAAAATTCAATTAAGTGGGATTTTAGCTGTTTCAATAAAATTGGACTCCCTTTTCAAGATAAGAGCTCTCCAGTATGGAAGAGCCTTTATGTGCCACGAGTATCCGCGTCTCCTAAACGCCTAATCCCCGCTCGGGACACAATGCCCACAACAGGAAATCAATGTATAGTCGAATCCATTTGAAAATATAAAATAAACTAATATCTGAGTGGGAAAGTGACTTCCTATGGATTAAGAGCTGCACAAACGGCAGAAAGCCCTCGCTGTTTTGCAAGTGGAAGTGGGTGGGCTGGGGGTCCCAGGAAGGGGCCCTGGGAGGCCACTGGGATGGGCACCAGGGCACAAGCATCCAAGCAAGAGCTGTGCCGTGCAGGAGGACGGGTGTGCAGGGGCAGGTTCCGGGGTCAGAGCCAGGCTACAGCCGACGGACACGGCTCTACAACCACTGGGCTGTTTTACCATTTCAGAATGGTAAGCCTTTGAGGTTACAGATGGCCCCTCCTCCTGGCCACAGCTGGGGTTAGCAGTGGCACCAAGCCACCGGCCTGGAGGACAGGGTTAGAAACCCTAACCCTACAAATACTGTGAGCAGAGCTGTCCTGCACCGCTCCAGCCCAGAGGCCTGGGAGAGAACCCTCATCCCTGGCCCTGACGGAGAGGGAAGTGGAGCAGCCCTGGACGTGGGGTAGGGAAGGGCCAGGGTAAGGGGCTCCTTCTGGACTGCAGGAGACCAGCACAGAACGGGCTCCCAGGTGAGAATGAGCCAAGTGTTTCTCAGATGAGGACTGTCCCCAGACTGCCCCCAGGATGGCAGGACAAGGTGCCCGCTCTCTGCAGGCCTCACTCTGATATGCAGGGGCTGAAAGACGGTGTGTTCTTCCGCCATCCTGCCCACAACCCCCCAGTTCCAGACCTCCTCCTCCAGGGAGCCCTCTCAGAGACCTCCCAGACCCCCACACCCTGCTGCCAGGTCTCAGGGCCAGTCCTGCCTTCTGAGCCCCAGACCCTACCTTGCCCCGACTCATCCACACTGCAGGCAACCTGGATTTAGCCCTGCTGAGGCCACACTGTCCCCTGCCCCTGTCCCCACTCCAACAACCCCCACTCCACCCTGCTGCCCTTGACCCCACACCCCCTCTCACCCCCAGTTTGACTGGGCCCCCCAGCTCCAAGCTGCCTCCCATCATCCTGGGTGCGGCACACAGGGAAGCCCACGGAGCAAGCCACTCTCTTCCAGTTCATTTTTGTTTCCAAATATTTCCTCCAGGTGAAACAACAGCCAGGCAGGACCAGACAAAGAAAGGACACCTCCTAGTGCGGTGGCCTCTGTGCAGGAGGTCAGGACAGCCCAGCTGCCAGGGGGTCTGCCGAGCAGGCACCCTGGCAGTCTGGAAGTGCGGAAGGCTCCAACCCTGCCTGGCGCTCTGGGAGGGGCGGGACCCTCCGGGAGGTGGGCCTAGCAGGAGGTGGGAGCCCAGCCCCTACCCCTTCCTGGCTGCCCTGGGTGCCCAGACCTGCTCCATCATGTGCTCTCACAGTGCTGCACCAGGTGCCCGGGGGGGAAAGATCAGGGCCAAGCAACTGTGCCCTGAAACCAGGAGCCACAATAAACCTTTCCTCTTTACAAGTTGATTACCCCAGTGTGTGTTACAGTCACAGAAAGCTGACACCCCACACCTCGCCAGCACCTAGAAACCCACCTCCCAGTGCCCACTGAACCGTGGACACACCGGTCCTCCTGCTCACCCACCCACCACCCATCTGCACATTCTCCAACAACCCACCTATTTACCCACATTTCCTCCCATCCATGAACCCGCCCATGCACCAACTCTCCATCCATCTACGCCTCATGCTACCTGCCCATGCTCATCTGTCTATTCATGGATTCCTACACTGCTTTGTTCATCAGCTTTCAGTGACAGTAACAAATATTTGAGACAAATCAACTTATTAAAAGGGCAGTTTATTTTAGCTCAGTTTTGGAAGTTCCAGTCGGTGATTGATGGGTCCTGTGGCTTTGGGCTGACGCTGACCCATCATGGCAGGAGGGCTTGGTGGGCAAGGCCAGTCACCTCATGGCTGAGGAGCAAAAGAGAGAGAAAGGAAGAAACTGGGATCCCACTGTCTCCTTCAAGGGCACATCCCCAGGACCGAAAACCCCATGAGGCCCTGCCTCCTGAAGCTTCCCCCGCCTCCCACAGTGTCAGGCGGGGACCGCGCCTTCAACACAGGGCCTTGGGGGACAGGCTGCAGCACCCCCACCTGCCCACCTGTCTACCCACCCCGTCCCAGCCACCCAGCCAACCAGCCAGCCTCTACTCCTGTCCCCTCTCATCTGTCATCCAGTCACTTGTCTCCAGCACTACACAGCTAGGTAGTCAGTAAGTCTGCCTGTTCCCGGTCCAGGCCTGGAGCCCAGCACGTCCACCAGGGTGACACCACCTCACCGTGTACATGCGCGTGGTCCCACCCTTGCTGTGAAGCAGGCTTGGGGCAGGTAGAGCGGCCAAGCTCCCACAGGCTGGCGCCTAGTCCACTGGACACTGGCAGATGGGCTTGTTAGCGCAGTGAACTGTCAGGCATAACGAGGAGAAGGCTCGATTTGTAAACACTCGGTCAATATGAATTAACACCATCAGGATGGAGTTCGGACTAAATTGGACAACCTCATTGGCGGCACCCAAAGCCCAGCAACAATAGGTAAATTAGGTCGTCATTAAATTATCATGAAGGAAAAATGCATAATCGGCAGCCACGCTGGTAGAAAGATGATGGTTATTTACAAAAACCCTGCTGTTTGCAAATTTGTGCAAAATTATTTGTTCTTGGCGGAGTTTTATGGAGCTATCTGCACATTATCTCCGCTCAAGACGCCCAGCCCTGCATATTAACCAATGTCTGTGGTTTAATTGGACATAGAACAGGCCAAATTGTAAATCGCTTTCCTGCCATCTATCTCTGTCTCCACGCTGGTCCCTGGGAGTGCAGGGCAGAGTGAGGAGACAGGGGCTCACCTCCTCCCTGGAGCCTCCGTGTACCTCCTTCCTGCTGCGGCCACAGCCCTGGAGCAGGGTGGAACCTGCCTGTGCCCAGCCGCAGCATGCAGAGCAAACGGACTCCAGATGGGCCGGAAGTGGTCACTGGCAGGAGGCGTTGCAGAAGAAGTTGCCGAAGGCCGCCAGGGGACCATTCTACAGATGCGCGTGCTTAACAGGCCTTTCTTCCACTGGACTATTAAAACGAGAGGGCAGAAAGCGAGGGGATAAAGGGTGGCCGCAGGCCAAACCCGGCCTCTCCTGGTGAGTGTGCCAGGTAACCACAGGCCTCAAGGGGCTCAGTGTGGGCAGGGCCATGTTCAGCTGGCCCCGTGCCGATCTGGCCCTGAATTGGCTGGCCTGGAAGTGGGTAGAGGGGCTGGGACACAGACACGGGGAGCCCAGGGAGGACTCATCCTACAGTCTGCCACTGCACGCCCACGTGGCTCCTTCACCGAGCTGTCATTCAACACAGAGGGTGCCCAAACGCTGGTCTGAAGGAGAACCCGGGACCAGCTGGCCAGCGTGGAGTGGGCTCTCCTTCACTGGCGATCTCTAAGATTTGACGTGTATATTTTATCACAGTAGCATCCGCACGGAGGCTCACCACAGGCAGGGCCCTGTCGGGTGAGCCCATTTCTTCCTTGAGTGGCTGCAGGTCTGATTTGAACTAGGGACAGCCACAGCCCAAGTCAAGGGCTTGGCCTCTCAACTTTCTTTGGGGGCAGGACATGGGTGGGGGGCATGCCGAGTATGGGGCGGAGACATGAGTGAACTGGATGAATTCTGGAAACCTGGACCCCAAGTCCCCAAGAGCAGCCCCTTTGACCTGGCCAAAGGAGACGCTCCATGCCAATGTCCCTGGCAGCCTCTGAAGGGCGCCCTGCACTTGTCTGCCCTCTTTGCCCAGAAGCAAACTCAACTCGCTAACTCAACCAAAGGAACAGCAAGACGCACCTCAGCCTGTGGGTCGCGGCAGGAAGCCTGCATGTGGACCCCCAGGGTGTCATGCCCAGGGAACAGGGTGCTTCCCAGGCACCTGGGTTTCAGGTTCCTGCTCAAGCCTCCTCTAGCCACAACCCGAGCTCTCCTGGACCCAGGGGCAGCTGATTCCCCAAGGGGCACCACGCTGGGCCCCTGTTAGGTTGAAGCCCTCGGCGACCCCAGGATGGGCACACAGACCAGAGGCCTGCCATCAGTGTGAGCTTGGTGGTGGGGACCTGGGAGCTGCACAGCTCTGTGCCCTTTCCTGGCCCTTGCTGGCCTTAGGTCTTAGCTCCAGGTACCAGGTGCTGATGGTGCTGCTGGGCAGCAGGCATCTCCTCAGAGGATGTGAGGATGGTGGTGTTCAGGCCTCTGGTGCCGGCCACTGCAGTGGTGTCTTGAGCAGCCACCCAAGGCCTGTCCCCTGAGAGTGGCGCCTAGGTGTGCAGCGAGGGTGGATGTGGGTAGGTGATAGGCTGTCAGGCTCCCACCTCTGCCCTGTGCTTCCACTGCTCTGGCTCTCAGGGTTCGACCCTCAGGCACCTCTTCAGCGCCCTCCCGTGAAGTCGATGGAGGGGTTTCACAGTGGCTAGGAGGGGTGGGCTCCTACTGGCCCCTCAGTGGCCCTGCTTGCCTCCTTTCTCTGTCCTTCCAGCCTCCAAAAGAGCTGGTAGCTCCTGGAGACTTCTCCAAGCTGCAGTGGCTGCGGCATCACCAGGCGGGCCTGGACACCTGCTCTGCTTGCCTACGTCCTGCGGTTACCTCCCGCTCCCTGCAGACTCCAGCCAGGAGGGTGCCCATCACCCGGCCTGGCAGCCGCTGCGGCAATCACCTTAGGGACTTGGAGATGTGAGCATCCCTTTGTGTGACTTGGACGGCATTTCCTGACTTGCTGCTGGGTGAATTCAGTAAACCAGATGGACTCTCACCCCTACTGGACTTTGTCCATCACTTTCTCCTGCCTGGTGCTGCCTGAGGAAAACACAGAGCCCAGCCACACTGGTGCAGCCGCCAGAGAGACAGTCGGTCCACAGGCACAGGATCTCAGACGCGGGCTCTGGAGGAAGCCCAGCCAGGCGAGGAAGGAGGCTGGGGGCTGCAGGGCATGTGGTGCCACAGGGAGCTGTCCTGGGCAGGGGGCAGCAGAGCACAGTTCCTGAGCCAGGAGGCGTGGCTCAGGCCTCGGCCCCGGTCAGGTCATGAGGGCCGCAGCCCACATGGTGGGGAGAAGCCCCTGCACGGGCAGGTGCCGTGGGTGATTGGTGAGAGAAAGTGCAGGACTGGCCCTCACAGAAGGGGCCTTGGGAGTGGGCGCATGGCTGGGTGGGATCAAGCTGGGCACCAGCCATGGTGGGCATGAGAAAACTGTGGAGGCCAGGTGGAGGGGCCTTGGGGTGACCGGCCTGGGGTCCAGGAAGAGCTGGGCTGGAGGAAGGCATGGGCGGTCAGCACACACCAGGAGAGGTCTTGGGAGGGTGGAGTGGGCTCAGGGAGGCCCAGGGCCTGGAGGGCAGAGCCGTGGCTGTGAGCCGAGCACAGACAGGCTGGGCGTCCTTGCACCTCTGCGAGAGTCGCGCGCTCCTGACAGTATCTGGGTGTGGTCATGTGTGTCGTGTCTGCACGTGGGCATCTGAGGCCTGTGTCCTCCAAGTGTCTGATCCTTGCCCTTGTGTGTCTGCCGGCCAGGGTCAGTTTGCTGAGGACCCCAGGCTGAGCCCTGCAGAGCCTGAGGGTGGGCAGGTGCACGGGCAGGTCAGGGTCAAGGTTGCTGGGGCAGCTTGAGGAGCAGGGACTGGGAGGGCCACCAGGAGGGCTCCTGGAGCCACTCGACTCTCAGGGCCTCTGGCCCCTCTGCAGCCTGGGCCTGTCCCCATGGTGGCTGCTCTGGGCCACAGTCCTAGCTCTGTCCATGTCTGTCCTGGCGAATGGGGACCTGGGCCAGTGGGGCGGGGGGCCGAAGACGGCAGCCCAAGCCAGCTTCTGATGCCAGACCTCCTCCTGCCCTGGGGAGCGGCCCTTGGAGGGTCAACTCTATGCAACCAACTCATTGATCCCTCTACCAGGTTAATTAATTAATTAGGGCTGCCGCGAAGGAAGGTGGGCTAGGCCCCGGCCACGGATCCCCCACCAGGAGCTTTATTAGTACATAAAATGAGTGTTTAAAACCCACGCGGGCACGAGTGTGCTGTCGCAGCTTTTCATTAAACAAACCTATAAAATTACTTGCCTCATTATGTATTTCCGCGACTTCCTCTGCCTTCGTTGCTCCCTCCCCACCTGCCTCCCGCCCGCTCTAAGTGCCTATTTGAAATCAATTTCTCTAATAACGGACTTAATGAGCTCATCAATTAGGGCTGCCATAACGGAGTGTAGCCGGGCTCTCCGGTTATCAGTTAAACTCTGGAACTAATTTCCATGCTTCATCTATCACAGGGTGCCCACGACGTTTGGCTGCTGCTCCGGGACGATAGGGAGACCCTAGGCCCTTCCTGCTGGCTGCACGGGTGTCCCAGGAAAGGACAATGAGGACCGAGGGGCCCACCTGGCCGGCGCACAGGGTGCAGGCTCGGCCACACTGGCATCATTAGCAGTAATTGATGACGGGGGCCCCAGACGAGGCAGCCTTCCACATGGAAACCCCGTTACACCTTCTCACCCTCCCATGAGGCCTCTTATGCCCCTCAGTCCTCTAACACACACCCCAACGGCTGCAAAGAGCCTCGTGTCTCCCCAAATCCTGAGCCCCCAAAGGAAAGCAGAGCCCCTCCTGATGTCCAGGCCAGAGTTGGCCCAGGCCAGCGACAGTGCTCAGGGGCAGGCAGAGGACCCCAGAGAAGGGCAATGGCCAGGGAGGGAATGAGGAGAGCAGAAGGCACTGAAGCTGACCCGGAGGCATAGAGAAGGGAATGTCATGGGTAGGCAGGGCTGCCACAGGACGTGGCAAGGTCAAAGGGACACATGGGAGAGGGACACAGGAGACCAGGCTCTGCGGGGGCCTGTGCTACTGGGGAGGCCGGGCAGGGCTGGAGCAGGGCCTGGGCGTGAAGGGCAGGGCCTCTGTCTCCTGCCACACCCAGATTTGGGACAGCAGAAGGCAGTGGAGTCTCAGGGAGGGAGGTCCTGCGGCAGACCACCCTGGAAGTGCACAGAGGCTGGAAGAGTGTGTGCCTCTGCTCCGGCTGGGAGGGCCTCACAGCAAGGCAGGACCCAGGGAGCAGGGCTGCAGTCCAGGGCCCTCTGCCTGACGCCCTGGGATGGCGGTAGCGGCACATTCCTGCCCCAGGCCTGAGTGGCCACCTGGAGAGGAAGGAGGGGACCAGGGTCCCAGGCTCAGGACGGTCTGATTTTCCCAAGCCAGACACCAGCTGCGACCAGAGAAGATGAGGAAACAGGGTGCCCTTGGGAAACGGAGGCACAGAGCACATGCCTCCCTGCCCAAGTGAGGACAGTGCAGTGGCCCTAGAGATTGACCGCATCTTGCCCTGGCCCTGGCCCCAGCCTGCAGTCATCTTCACCAGGCTGGGCCAGGGCTCCTGACGCCTCATGTGGCACCTGCTGGACCTGCCCCACTGCAGCCCTGGCCGCCTTCAGTCCTAGCCCCAAGCCCGAGCCTAGGCTGAACACCCCCTACACCCAGGACAGCCTGGACAAGCCCAGTTAGCCCCCACCAGCATGGCCCAGGCAGGAGGCCACGGTCACCCCAGGGGCCCCTGGTGGCAGGCAGACCCTGTGCACATAGGGAGAAGGCTGGTGGGCTTAGCGGAAGAGGGTGCGGCTGGTGAAGGGCTGGGGCGTGCTGGTAGGGGCGAAAGGCCAGCGTGGCCTCTTCTTCCATCTCCTGCACCCCCAGGCCCACAGGGCAAAGTGGGCTTGAAGATCCCGCACGCTGGGGGTGGACGGTGGCCCCTCCTGATGGCAAGGGGTGCGCGTCACCGCTTAGCCCACTGCTCCGGGTGATTCGTCATAGTCAGCCTGGATCTTCTCATTAGTGAGAAGCCATTAGTGCGGCTTTATCAGTGGTGGAGTCGCTGTGCGCAGGAGGCTGGCCCGGCCGCCTTCCAGAGCGCCACCTCCAGGCTGCCCTGGGGCGGCCCCATTGATGGGGCCAGGCAGGGCTGCACAACCCGACCAGGCCCTGGACGGCTGCTCCGGATCTCCCCACACTGGGCACAGCCGGGCTGGAGCTTGGGGTGAGTTGAGCTGGGTGGCAGT